CATTTAGAATCAGATCAATTCCAGCGACTGATGGATCTGGATGGAAAATTGATGTAAAATGTGGAGTTCATAACCATGGTTTACCTGATAGATTAGAAGGTCACGCATTTGTCGGTAGGTTGACAGCGGATCAGAAGCAACATGTTGTTGATTTGACAAAGAGAAAGGTTCCACCTAGACATATATTGCTTTCATTGCAAGAGCAAGATCCAGATAATGTCACTCGGATCACACAAATATACAAACAGAAGAGTATGATAGAAAAAAATATAAGAGGTCCTAGAAGTGAGATACAACATTTGTTTAAGCTCATTGAGGAAGCAGGTTATGTTTATTGGAGTAGAAAAAGAGATGACTCTGAAGTAATTAGAGATATCTTTTGGGCTCATCCAGATTCAGTTAAATTGTTGAATATTTTTCCTATTGTGCTAGTTATGGACAGCACTTACAAGACAAACAAATATAGGCAACCTCTGTTTGAAATTGTTGGCATGACATCAACCGAGTTGACTTTTGCTATCGCATTTGCCTATATTAAGTCTGAGCAAACTGAGACTTTTTGTTGGGTGCTAGATAAGCTTAAACAATTGTTTGTGAAGAAAGAGTTGTGTCCACACGTGATTTTGACAGATAGAGATCTTTCTTTGATGAAAGCCATTGAAATTGTGTTTCCAAAGTCGATCAATATGCTATGTCGATTTCATATTAACAAGAATGTTGGTGCAAAACGGAAACAATATGTGGCTAGTGAAATGCAAAAGAAAATTGATGATTTATGGACGGATGTTGTATGAGCTGGTGATGAGGTTGAGTATGATCAAAGGTTGAACCAACTTGAGTAGGCGTGTGTTGATTGTAATAAATTTATTGATGATGTAGTTAATGTTGTATCAGATGGTAATTGTGGATTTAGAGTCATTGCTTCATTGCAAGGATTGGGTGAAGATGGTTGGTCAATGATTCGTCGAGACTTGGGGTTGGAAATAATACATAATGAAAGATCAAGTTTGTATGCCAATTTATTTACTGATCAGTTAGCAGTGGTGAGAGAATCTTTGATGATAGAGGAAGTCGATTCTCAACCACCACATAAATGGTTAACTCTACCAGATATGGGTTACATGATAGCGAATCGTTATAATGTTGTACTTGTCTGTTTAGGAATTGAATGCTGGACTTTCTTCCCTATGACAACTTCATTTTCACCGAATGCAGCAATTTACTGCATTGGTTTTGTAAATGGAAATCATTGGGTTCAGGTACTTAGTTGTTTTTTTGATAATACGATTAACCCTAAGTATTTTTCTTTATTTTTTACTTACTATTTTGATTATTTTTTTATTTAGGTGAACATGAAAAAAGGGTTTCCATTGCCACCAGTGACAGTAGATTGGAAGAATTTTCGTTCTCCAGCAGCAACATCTTGGATGCTAGGATTTGCACCACGTCTACAACATTGGCAACAATTTACGCCTATATTACCAACACATTATACATTATAAATTATGTTACTCATTTTTAATTTCAAAACATGAATAATGAATTTTGTTACTCATTTTTAATTTCAAAACTTATAATATGTAAAGTCTCGAACAAATCCGCAAATTGTGGGTCAAATGAGTCTAAAAGTTAACATATAATCATAAATACAAAATATAAGTCACTGTGATCGAGCAATATGTAAAGCCTCGAACAAATCCGCAAACTGTGGGTCATCATCTTCAGCACCAGCCTGTTGAAGATAACGATGAATCAACGAAGACACACGAGCCCAACTAGGATCAGATGGTCCTGCTTCATATACTGGAACTGGCATCTCTGCTGGTGCATCATGATAGGGTGTCGGTACCAAACGAGGATGAGAGACACGATAATACCACTCAAGATATCCATCATCTGTCTCGTATGGGGTGGTGGCCGGTGCTGTCGGACGAATCACATTCTGGACGCTCTGATGGTAACTAATCCAGTCAACATCAATATCACCAGCCATCCTGTGATCAATAGGTGAATGTGGAACATATTGCCTGTATCCAAACTGACGCATACATCTGTCAGGCAAGTATGGAACAATAGTGTCACCCCACCTTAGACACCCCCTATATAGACATAACTCATCGAACTGACGCCATACTCTATGATTCTCGAATGGGCGCCATATGACATCAGCAGGTGTCAGCTCGTCCAGAATAGATCGCAACTCATCCACCTTCAAGGCACCTTGCCTATATGACCATCTCATCGCTCGAGGGAGACCCACATTATGAGCTGGTATCCAGTTCTCTCCTTTTTTTTCCAAGTGTTGGAAAATACTCATGAATCCAGCACTGTCACAAAATTAATATGGTTATTAACATTAAAATAATTAATTATAACATAATAAAATTTATTAAAACAAAATATATTAAATTAAAATAAATACCTGTAAGAGAGTCGGATAACCACCAAGCTGCTTACAGCTGAACATGGAAGCATCTCTGAGATATCTGTAAAGAGTAGCCAACGCAGCTGCTCCCCAACTGTATCCAGATAAGTCATCCAAGTCTATAAACAATGAGAGGTATCTTGCCTCGACAAGCGTAAACGTCTTGTCCGCGAAAATAGTGGAACCCACCAACATCAGCAAATAAGCTCTAGTGGCATAATGCCATCTAGATGCAACTTTATGCTCAACGAACAGATCATATAACCACTCCAGCTTGTAGTAGGAACCCCTGCATTCACGGACTTGTTGTTGTGCTACTCTCTGTGACACTCCTAAATAATCAACAGCCCACTCAACAGCAAGGGCTTCACTGATATCTTCAGGGCTCCAGAAAACTCCCCTGATGGGCAAGTGAAGCAGGCAAGATACGTCATCTAGAGTAATCGTCATCTCACCAAACGGCATGTGAAATGATGATGTCTCTAGATGCCACCTCTCTGCAAAAGCGGAAACTAGGTTTGTGTCTATCTTTGATAAACTGGTTCTCTGTAGTGAAGCTAAACCAGACCTAGATATCCATCTCTCCATCTCTCTAGGTAGCTGTAGTGGAACCCTCTGAGCCAACTTCAACCCATGTCCAGCCACCTTTAACTCTTTCTTCGACCCTCTCTCCTGAAAAAAATTAAAAGTAAATATATTATAAAATTCAATATTAAAAATTCGAAATTCTAGTCAATATTAAATAATTTTCGTTTACTTACCTGACCGAACCATATACGGTATGCAACATGTTGTTCGTACTTAACTAACAGAGACGTATCATATGGTCCTCCTGGATATCCAACTGGTTCGGATGCTGATGCAGATGCATCAAAATGCTCTTCTTCAGCCATCCTGGAGGACTCGCCCCGTCCTAGTCCGCGAGGGATCCTACCATCTCTGCCTCGTGTGCGCACCACTGGAAAAAAAAAGTCAATATAATTATAAAAAAAAATAATAAAAAAAAATAAATATAATTAAAAAATAAAAATTAAAACCATAATAATAAATAAATATAATTAAAAATTAAAAAAAGTAAATTAATAAATAAATTAAAAATTAAAATAGATAAATAAAATAAAAATTAAAATAAATAAATAAATAAATAAATTTTAAAAAAAACAAAAACAAAAAAAAACAATGAACCGGAAGACATGAAGAAAGTCTTCCGGTGAAGAAATTACGAAAATTGTGTTCCGGAAGACTTAGTCGAAGTCTTCCGGTGAATAAATCCAAGAACTTGTGTACCGGAAGACATGCATTAAGTCTTCTGGTGAAGGAACCAAAAAAACAAACAAACCGGAAGACTTACTTGAAGAGTTCCGGTTTGGCTTGAGCGAAAAATGACTTCCGGAAGACTTTAAGGAAGAGTTCCGATTTGAGAGGTAAAATTGTGTGTTCCGGAAGTCTTTCAATACAAATGAAGTGAAAATGGGAATTTTTTTTTTAATTATACTATTTAAGGAAGGGCATTTTGGTCCAATATTTTTTAGTGTAGGGGTGTGGGGATAGATAGATGTAGGGGTATGGGGTAAAATTTTCGGCCAATTATTGCTCCCTTAAGTTAGTCTTGTTTTTTTTGTTGGGCTTGTTCCCTCGGTGGGATCTTGATCGTCTTGTTTTGTATTGAATTTTATGGGATTTAATAAAATCTTTTATGCAAAAATAAAAAAATAAAAAAGTAAAAAGAATGTTAATTCATTTGAAAATTAAAAAAATATTTTTTTTTGTAAAATAAGAAATAACAATAATTTTTATTACAAAAAATAAAAATTATTTTTAAAAAAAAATATTCTAAAAATAAAAATATTTTTTTTATCCGAAAAATAAATAAAAAATCAAAAGAAAAATTATTTCAAAATAAAAAATTATTCTGAAATTTTTTTTTGGGTGGTGCTTTAGTCTATATGTGTGAATAGGCGTTTTGAGCTGGACCCTATGGGTTGGAACAATTTTTGGATATATAAATTTTCTTATTTTTAGAATTTATTCTGAATATTTTTTCTGAACAAAATTTTTTTTAGAAAAAAAGTTTTGAAAGAGTTCAATATAAAATCATTTTAAATACAAACTGATTTTAAATTAAATTGAAATCATTTTAAAATTAATTGCATTTTTATTGAAATGATTATCACAAATTGAACTATAAATATAGTTTGGTTATGATTCAATGCAGTTCATGAACCATAAACACCTCTAATATATAGTATTGTAACCCTCAGTATTGTAACCCTCTTCTTTGTAATGACTTTGAATATTCCTTATACTCATATCTTTCATTGTTTATATTATTTTGCACACAAGCCAGAAGTAGTTGAAACATATAAGCATAAATAACAATTTGGCATAACTAGTTAAATACATTGAATATGATTTTGTTAGGCTCAAAAAATGTGATAAACAACATGAAAATGCTAGGTTTACATGGTACCCTAGTAAAATATATATTGATTTATTTAAGTGTACATAAATTATTCCTTGGTAGAGTACAAAAATGGGTGTAACTAACAGAAACTATGAAGAGTTGAATACCTATCTACGTAGTAATTGAAAGATCTTTCAGCTGCTGCGGATCTACTTCGGATGGGGACCTTGTGAGGGCACATTGTGCAGTAGTTGTTTTTGGGAAAGCAATGACATCCCTGATAGAACTAGCCCCGGCCAGCAACATAACCAATCTATCCAAACCAAAAGCTATGCCTCCTGCATTTGTTTCATATATAATAACAATCATCAGCTATTAAACATATTGAGAAACAATCGGTGCGCCACATATTTTCAGACTAGTGTTCGAATAAAGATGCGGCAATTAATTGCAACTTAATATTAGATGATACTTTTATTGACAGTGAGACAACATTCACCGCCAATAAAATTTAAAATTGTGGAACTATTTTCTGTTTCTGCAACTGTCTCAACATAAGTTTGCTTTATATTAAATGTTTGATCTCTTATTTATAAGCATATTTATTGCTATAAAACATTTTAGAAGATTTACAAATATACATACCATGTGGCGGAGCCCCCATGTCAAGTGCTTCAAGAAGATAGCCAAACTTTGCTTCAGCCTGAAAATAAATTATAATGCATAATTCACAGTCAGAGCCCTATTTCCAGAATGGAAGCACCGGAAAGAGGAGTATATCAGATTTTATAAGAAAAAACAAGCCAAAACTGTGTTTTACATTAGCATACTTGTCACAAAATGAAATGTATGAATATATATATATATATATATATATATATATATATATATATATATATATATATATATATATATATATATATATATATATATATATATATATATACAATTAAACTCATGAAACACTGCAATGCCACAAAACCAAATGGAGCACAATAAGCTAATAACCAAAACATGATTCTAGTCGAAATTTTTCCATCCAACATCGGCTGGTTTATTAAATATGAAACGAGAGAAACTAAATGAAAAAGATAAATAAGGCTAGGAATGGAATCACAATTACTAACCTGCTCCATAGAGATGCCTACAATCTCCAAAACCTTTTGTTGTATGTCGCGTTTATAAATTCTCAAACTTCCCCCACCAATCTGACAGAAAAAATAATATTGAGTTATTTATGCAGACATCGGTCGAGAGATTGTCAACCTCGGAGCTTAAAGACAGAAAAGCAAGCCGAACTAAATTTCAATTACCTCCACCCCGTTATAAACCATGTCATATGCCAATGCGCGAGCAGTAGCAAGGTTGTTCATGTCTTCAGGATTTGGTGCAGTGAAAGGATGATGAAGAGCCTGCACTAGCCCGTAATTAAGAATAATGAAAATAATAACAACAAATATAACAAGATTAACTGTAATGACAATCATAAAACTTTCAACCAAAACATGTTATTATATATTGAGAAATACATTGTTAGGTGAGATATTAAAAGAAAAAACAGACCTCAAGCCTCTGCTCTGAATCATTCCACTCAAACATTGGAAAGTCGGTAATCCACAAAATTGAATGTCTGTCCTAAAATTCAAACAAAAATAACCAGATAGTGCAAGTGAAATGAATAATCAAGATACATTGCATTTATTTTCCTTTAAAAAGAAAATACCAACTTACATGTTCGATTAAACCTAATTCATGTGCTAGATAAACTCTAAGACGGTCTAGAGTTTTATTTACAGATGCATGATGACCAACTGCAAATAAAATCAGATCATTCGGTCCAGCAGAGCATCGCCCTAACAAATCCTCTTTAGTTGCAGGATCCATACTTGATACTAAAGCAGAAATTCCCTCGATATCCCCTAAAACAAAAGGTTTGCACAATAAACAACAGAATACAACAAACACGTCTCAAATTATCACAAAATTAAGTATTGATAGTGAATTCCTTATTTACCATTCTCCGTGATCTTGAGAAAAGGTAAACCCTTTGCACCAGATTTGAATGCTTCATTGTAAATATCACCTTTCTTAAGAGTTGAATTTGAGTACTTTTTTGCACCATTAGGTACACACAGCACTTTTATAATTCCTCCCCTCTCTAAGGAATCAGAGAAAACCTTGAAGGACGACCCTGAGAAAATATCAGATACCTGCAGACAAAGAGAAGTTATATCTCAGCAAGATGAAGCAAGTATAGGTAAGTTACTGCAATACAAAACTAAAACACAAAGTAACAGTGATTTCCAACACGGCTGCAGCAAGCTATATCAAATGATAAAAAAGGTGAGCACATAAGAGAAGATCAAAGTAACTACACCATATGCTAGAAACCATAAAAGTACTAAGAGGAAGTGAAATAAAGAGCATTACATCTTTTAATTCGAGATCAAATCTGGTATCTGGCCGGTCCGAACCATATCTATTCATTGCTTCAGCATAAGTAAGCCTAGGGAAAGGATTTGGTAATTCCACACCCTTAATTTCAAGAAAAACCTGCAATAAACACTTCCTATTTTTACACCAAATAACGAGTTTATTCTAATCTAGGAGATGAACAAATTCATAATAACCATACAATATTTGTTCCCCTCATACAATATCCAACTTCAAAATAGTCATGACATACATTATTCAAATTTTTTAGTTTTCTTTATATAAACCAAACACATCACAAAAGGTCTTTATCAAACAGATTTATCAACATTAACAATGTTGTCTTTTCCTGAAATAAGCGAGACTACAAAAATCCCTGTTTCTTTAGTTATCCTTTATAATTTCTCAACCAATATCAATACCTGCTTTAGTACCTGTTTTCATTATTACTTCAAAAGAATTAATTTATTGATAACATGAATTTATTTAAACTGTTAAGAGAAGTGTGATTATAGATAATATGAACTAACCTTTCTGATCAACTCTTCATTAAGAGTCAACATATCCTCTAAAGGAGTAAAAGCCATTTCCATATCTAGTTGTGTGAACTCCGGTTGTCTATCAGCTCTTAAATCTTCATCTCGAAAACATCTGGCAAAAAGTAAATTGCATTTTATCCAAAAACAAACATGGTGACTTGCATCAAAAATCTTTTAATTGTAAATCACACAAACCAAATGCATTTTTTATAGGAAAAGGGGAAGAGTTTTACAATTACCCCATAACATAAGCCAAGATACGAAAAGACAATAAAAATAATATTGTACCTTGCTACTTGATAATACTTATCAAAACCAGCTACCATTAGCATTTGTTTGAATAGCTGAGGGCTTTGAGGCAAGGCATAGAATGTTCCTGGCTTCATATTTCATGAGATAATGAATCAACAAAACATGACTTAAGTTATATATCTCACAAAAAAAAAATCAGAAGATAAAAGTATCACATTGCTTTATATCTTAGCAATGCATCAAAGATGATATCCAGATAAAATAAAATTATTCAGTGCCATAATACAGATAACTCACTTATGGGAAATTACTAGTTTTTGCAGTCATTTTTACAATCAGAACATAACAAATAAATATCAGAGGTCGATGCTTTCTGGGTGTAGGCATATAAGGAAAAGCGCTAATGATGTGTCTACTGAGGTGCATGCACAATGCAAACCTGCATAAGGTCTACATTAATGCCATTGAGGTATAGGTAATATCTAATTGAACAGTGAAAGAACAATTAATTGATCTGATTATGCAAAAGATAAATTTAAATTGCCTGATCGAACATTTGACGAGACTAATTTTTTCAAATCTGTTGTTTGACTTATTTACTCTGTTGTAATTAAAAGCCATACTAAACAAAGAGAAAGAAAGACTAAATATATATAAGAGAAACATAATAAAATTAGAATGTCATGCAATAGGTGAACAAAATCTTAATACCTGGACTCTTGACGGAACTAAATAATCTCGGGCACCTTCTGGTGTGGATCTTGACAGTATTGGAGTTTCAATCTACCTTATGAACAAAAAAAGGTAAAGATCAACATGGGACAGCAACTACCAAAGTACAGTGTGCAAGAGATTCATAACTCAAAGGAAGGGATGAACCTAATGAACAGTACCTCCACAAAACCATGTATGTCTTCTAGATATCTTCGTATGAGTTTAACCACTTTATGCCGCAGCAATATGTTAAAATTCATTTGCTGCCTTCTTAGATCAAGACATCGGTACCTGCAAATTAGTAATTGTAAGCAATAAATCTCTCATATGCTTACCAAATACAAAAATGAATATGTATTATTATGATCGAACCCGTGAATTCATAATACAAAATATGCTTGCATCGAGAATGAAAATAGAGCAAAGCTCACTTACAGGGATGAAAGAAAAGATAAACTGAAGTTCAAGAACTCCTAAACAGAGCTAAGCTCCTAACCAGAGAATACTTTCTTCAACCTGAGTAATAAAAACTATTCTGAATAAGCCTCTCACTCTAACCTCTTTCTCCCTATAAACCCTTGCACGTCCTAACCAATTGCCATGCCACATCAGCAGCTCTTTTCCTAACTCTTCCATTCAACTAGGTTATTGGGCTTAGGCTCAAAGCCAGTGTCCTATCACTACCATCCGCTAGAAAAATAGCCTTGTCCTCAAGTCTAAGATAAGGACACTCATGAGTTGAATACTTCTTGTCACTTACAGTTGGTGGCATGACCATAGCATGAACAACTTGCAAGAGATCAAATGAAATTAGGCAAGCAGTGAGCCAAACAACCAAAGTACTTAACTGTTGAAGAACCCTCACATGTATTGTAAACGTTGCAAATCAAGCCACTCCCCCAGGATCCCACGGTTAGAAGCTAGACTGAGCAAATCCAAACGATCGGCTCATCCACATAGTTTTACTCCAATTGCAATTGGGAAGAAACATGCAGTGAATTTCTTCTATGTCTAGAGAGGCCACTACTTCAGCAACCACAGCTTGAGCAACGAAAAGCACAATTGCGTTTGAAGCATTCAACATATCCATTGGCATCTCTTCTATGATATCAAGAAGCATGATAAATCATTAACTGCATCCTTTATTGAAAAAAACTTTATATGAAAAACAGATAGCACTGGTGCTATTTCTTTCCCTCTGTTCTTGCTGTCCATACTAAGAGTTATGAGCTTTTTCAAACAGATTGGTTTATACTCAAGTGTACATGTGTCTTCAAGATTTTGGATGAGCTCAAGTATGTTATCACAGAGAAAATATTCGTACCTTGACAAAGCATCCGTCAAAGGTTCATACTCATGTTTGCATCCTGCTTTATTAACTAGAATCACATCTAAACTCTTATAAGAGGCCTTTAGAAATGCTTCCTTTGCCACAACAGTAGGATCTTTGGCATAACCTTTCTTTGATATTGATCTTTGAAATCTATTTGCATGTTTCCATAATTCATAATTGTTTAATTGCCTCTGATTGAATTGCATCACAAGCAGTTATCATGACTTTATTGTTGTGTTTGAGCCAGCAATCAATCTTAATTAGATTAATAGACTTTCCAAATCCAATAAATACAACAACATAATGTTTGCTTAGCTCCTTGGTGCACCGATATTCTTTAATGTGTCAACAGAATGATTAGGAATGAAAATACAAACAAACCTTTCTTCCATTGCAACATGAACTATTGTGAGCATCATCATAACTGAAGCCAACTTTTTGCCTCTAAAACTTGTTACCATGGCAACACATATTTCTCATCTATTTCCTCAGCCTTAATATGGGGCCGACTCATTAATTCCTGAATTAGCTTTAGCTGGCACCTTTGCAACCCCCACTCTGTTTGGTCTTGGACCCAAATGTTAATCTCAACTTGGGGCAGCTTTAGCGGCTCTGCTCCGTTTCAAGTCTTAATTTCTTTCCTCAACAAATTAGAATAACTTAGAACTAGGCCCATTTTGTCTAAAGTCGGACCATGATGTAGAAGAGTACCAATCTGCCCCTAATTTCTTTGGAAACTTCCCAATCACAACAGCATCAAAACATACCAGATCGGCATGCAAAAAAGATGGCTCATCAGACATGGAGTTGTTCCCTCCTGCAAGGAGATTGGTCATCGTCGGTGTCAATGGTCGGGGATAAGACTCCGCCTACAACCTGGTTCCAGTGGTTCTTGCTCTGAAAGATGTGGGTTATGAACCGCGTGGATGGCAGTGGGGCTCGCCGTGGTAATGCAGTCACAAGTCGACCGATGTCCCGTGGTTTCGACAGAGGTAGCATGGTGTCCAATCGACGCCCAAATTGGCTCTCCATAGGAGTGGGTGGTTCTTTCGATTATTTCTCCTTCAGCAGAGTTTGATCTTTGAACATGAAGTCAACGGTGACTCATTCATTATCGTCCTTAAATACCTGTGTAAGATCTTTGATTCTAGTTGATGGGACGCCGCTGTGGGTATACCGGTGACTGGTGGTTCTGACTCACTAGGAGCCATCACATAGGTTGAATGAACTCTGGCGGTTCACGTGGAGGTAACGAATTATAAGATCTACGCGCAATTTCCCTCTCCAGCGTGACTGGTTTAATCCCTTCATCCAGCTTCGTGAGGTTCTCCACCAATACTTCTGCTCTCATCTGTTTGCAATTGGTTCACGATCCTCGTCTTCTCCAATGTCATTAATGCGCCGCACATGTCGAACGGTATTACTTCTTCGTGTCCAAGAGTTTGAGTGTCAAAATTGTTTCCCTTTGGATCTACTTCTTCCTTTCTTCATTGCCAACTTGGATTTGAAAACCAAATTGTCAGTGTAAGAGGATGAATGACCACCTTCTAAAGAAGGTCCATCTAACATTCTTGTGAACTCTGCTATTATGATTTGACAGCATTCCTCCATAGTTTGATGCCAAGAATCTTCGACAATTGAAAGCTGCACATTCATTCGTTAGATCATTTTCGCGACATCTCCGGATCTTCACTAGCTCCTCTCTACATCCGGCAGGTCGAACAATTGATGGAACCCGTGAATTCATAATGGAAAAATCTGTTTGTATTGAGTATGAAAATGAAGCAAAACTCACTTACAATTGTGAGCATTATCCTAACCAGAGAATACTTTCTCCTAACCGAATGCTATTTTTTCTGAATGAGCCTCTCACTCTCACCTCCTTCTCCCTATGATTCCTTGCACATCCTAACAAACTGTCACATCAGCAGCTCTTTTCCTAACTCTTCTATTCAGCTTGGTAATTGGCTGGCCTTAGGCCCAAAACCAGTGGCCTATCATATTATGAAAAATTATGATTCGCCACACAAAATTCTCTTTTCCATCAAAATTGAGGATAAGTCAGAAATGACATTTACTAAATAAATAACTTCATAACAAAAAAACACGGACAACAGCATTAATAGGAAAAATCTAAATATAGTGAGATTTTGACCTCTATGAGAAACTCACCAACATAAAACATATATATAGATATAGGCAATTACAAGTACCATGCATCTACCGATGGCTACTACCTCAAACGGATTTCCTCTTTAAGAGAATCTTTTGCATCGTCTGATGTAGTAACTAAGAATGGTAACTTTGAATTCACAGAATTCAACACGTGAACCTCATTTGCAGCAACCTGCAACACAAGGATGTATATGAAATTTTGATAGACACAGAAAACGGTAAATAAACTTAACACTTCAAACTACAAAAATCATATCTTCAGAATCAGGACGCCATTGATTCAAGTATAAAGCATATTTCTTCAGACAACACAATTAAAATATCGGAGATCATTATGGCAAGAGTTGATCCATGTAGCCAACCCCACTTAGTGGGGTAAGGCTTAGTTGTTGTTGTTGTGGAGATCAGACAACCAAAATGAGGTGAATCCAATAGCATAAAAAATCATACTAAATTATAATCTTATAATGTCCTCTGGTCAAGTTTTCCGGTCAAAATATCAATGGATAATAAAACAATAATTTTAAAAATATATATATTTCATCCATACGCTCTTCGATACATCATGACCAACGACCCGCTTTCTCTTTGCTTTTTTTACTATATAAAGGTGCAGTTTCCATGCCACATCATATGTATAGAGAAGCTTTGTGATTTCCTTTGTTTTCATTTATTAGCATGTGTACAAGGCAGTTTCCACTTTCCATGCCAGCACTATTGCTTGGTTTGATGGTACATTTGGTTAAGTGATTTGCTCCAATAAGATTAATCAAAAAAAGACAAGCCGACTAGTGGATTGCAGCATGCTTTACACAGTCACTAATTGATAAACCATGACTTCTATAAACTGATTGTTACTTTCCTCTCTACACAAAAGCAATGTCAGTTTCTGCATGTTAGGCATTCTTCACCTTACAACATGATTTTTACTGAATTTTGTCTTATACAAGCACTTACAACTTCTTTTATATCTATTGTTGAACTATCTATGCCAGTGCCCTGTATTGCCATTAATATTATTCAAGGCTCTATTGATAAACATGACTAATAATAATAATCTGATATATTGATTGGACTATTGTAGTAGTATGCTTCTTTGATGATTAGTTATACTAATTTACACATTCCAGTGTTATCTGTGGTGGAAAGCCAAAAATATGCCATAACTGCCATAAAACGTAATAGCGCCGCCATCTTTCACAAATTGACCACGGCGTTTGACAAAAAAACTGCCACCGCTATGGCCGATATTTAGCAACACTAACAATAGTCCAACAATGCATGCTGACTAATTGATATTGAGGTTTATATCACTGTGAGTTTCTGCTTGAAGTGATATTCTTTTAGATTACTTATCATGTTTACTAATAGATATAATAAGCAAACTTACTTAGTCCATGTTTGCTCATACTCTATGTTGTATGTTGTTGATTTTTCTTTTTCTTTTTGAAGAGCTTTGAAAGTGTGTTTGCTTATAGTCCGGATTTTTTACATAAAAAGAATGATCAAAACTTACAATTGTGTTCGTTACATACTATAATCTATATTGCAACCAACCCTTAATTTCCCATCTATAAGAGAATTATCAGTAAACTTTCTATTTTAATTTATTTAGTTGATAATGGTTCGCAAACAGTTCATACTAATTACGCAAATACAAGCCACATATATATGGAACCCGCTCTAATACGACATAAGCATCGTAACTAAAATTAATAGCTCAATCCTCCTTTTGCTCATGATTTTTGATGTTCAGCCCAATATTTCAAATCTCTGCATTAAGGACTACTTTAGTGTTTAGGTAGCTACCATGTATATGAAGATGTACGTGCAATGATATATGATATGCTCCCATTATAAATTGATTTGGCCGTGCATATCTTGGTGCTTCTTATTAAACATCACTTATTTGGAGGTTGAATCAAGATATTTGAAGGCCGCTAATTACTAGTATGGTAACATCCCTGCGTATCTTTCTCAATGATATATTCAAACTATGAACAATGAATCTAAATGTTAATTTACAAGCATTATCATGCTCCAACACTTTCTTTTCATTAATGAAACATATACCTCAATGAAGCCTGTTTTCATCTTCTTGTTGATTGATTCACTCGGACGAGACCTAACGACACCTTCAATGGCAACCACATACTCCAATCTGAGATCATTGATAACAGAATGTGCAACTGGAAAATCATCCGGAAGTGTTGTAACCTGAATTTCAAGCTTAATTAGAATATACACCATGTTCAATTATAAACAAAAGTAGTCAACACAGAATAATAAAATGAAATTAAATGCAACAAACAATAGTACAAATAGTAAAACACAATAGCATAGAAGCAACAATATACAAGACATAAAAACAACCGAGTCTTATCCCACTAAGTGGAGTCAACTACTAGATCAACTTTTGCCATCTTCTATCCAGCACCATACTTCTATCCAAATCACTAATCTCGGATACAAATTACAAAATGCATTTTTGTGAGGTAAAAAAAAAAACTATTTGCAATGTGGGTACCTGAACAATCCCGGTATGGTCTCTAAGATTAAGAAAAGTGAGTCCACCATGGACTCTATGAAGTGCAACCCAACCACAAAGCTGAACCTTTTTACCAACATCATTCAAAGACAATTCACCACAAAAATGAGTCCTTGTAACCCATTGAAGCGATTCATTCAATGGCAAAGGCGGTGGTGATGGTTTAGCATTGGAAGTGAGTGTTTCAGAAGCGGAAGGAAGTGGTTGAACCGAAGCAGAAACAGAAGAAACGGTTCTGGTAGTTGAAATTAACCTTGGAATTGTAGTGGAAACCCTAGAAAGAAAGAAAAAGGATGGCCTAGGTCGGAGAACCATCAAAGGCATTGCTTTTAGGAACAGAGACATATTGAATGAAAGATTGAAGCTTGATGTAATGGAAACAGATTGAAGAAAGGAAAATTCAGAAATTGGGAATTGGGGAATTCAAATAAAGAGATGAATTTAGTTAGGGTTTAAGGTAAGAGGGATAATCACGGGTATTGAGGAGAAGGAGATGAATGAAAAGCTGAGAACACAAAAGAGATAACGGATGAGTTGAGTGATATGCTTAAAATTATCGTTGGTTCAAAAACTGAACTTGTGAACCGGTTTCAAGCTGGTTCATATTCGGCTTAACCCGATTTGTGTTAAAAAGAGTTATTACATGGATTAGCTTTAAAATCCAGTTTTTTTGGGGCGCTGAAAATTAAAGGAGAAGAAGAAATAACAGGAGATAAAAAGAAGACGACGCAGGAGATAACAGGAGTTATTACGTGCATATCTTGGTGCTTCTTATTAAACATCACTTATTTGAAAGGCAATTAGGGTGTAAAGACCCCGGTTTCAAACCATGTTGTGTCGTGGGTATCCGGTTTTCAGTTTTTGGTTTCAAATGGATCAGTTCGGTTTTTTATACTTATTATTTCATTTATATAATGTTACTTTTTTATAGCAATTACTTCATTTTTTTTTCACTGAAATTCAAGTAATTGATAAATTATATAGGTAAAAAATATAAATCATGTTATGTTTCTAATTAATATATATATATATATATATATATATATATATATATATATATATATATATATATATATATATATATATATATATATATATATATATATATATATATATATAATTCAAGTAATATAATATATATATATATATATATATATATATATATATATATATTATATTACTTGAATTTTATATATATATATATATATATATATATATATATATATATATATATATATATATATATATATAATTTAATTTTACTATGCATAATTGATTATAAAAATAAAATAAAAGACTTAATAAAAACAAAAATAATGCCAAAAGATATTCAATTAAACTTTTCATGAAATTAAATAACATTTTACATAAATAATTGTGTTATTTAAATATTTAATTTTACACATTATATAATTTTATTTATCATTGATAAGGGTTTCGTGGTGCAGTTTGAATCAGTTTTGAGTTAAAAACTCATTTGATTCAAAAATAAATTTACGCGTGGTCTGGTTCGATTTTGGATGATTAATCAAATGAATCTGATCTAATTTGATTTAATTTTATGTAATTTAATTTAGATTGATTTTTGGATATTCAAATTACAAATTATATTTTTTATTAAGATACACTATGGATTCTTTGCTTTGTTATTGAATTAACATACATTATGTTTTTCTACTATTACATGCCTTTTTCATTTCTCCACATAATTTCATCAAGATTCTTCATGTCTGGTATCTTAACGATTGAACTATCATAAGGGATCCATAGGAGGTGGTTAAAGCCCTTGACATTGTTCAGAAGATAGGTATAGGATTAGGTCTCGAATGGAACATTTGTGTTTCGAACTGGCCCAATGGCTAGACATGACCCAACCCACTTCTGCTTTCAGAACGGCCCAATTGTCTAAGTCCAACCTCTTTGGAGGAAAGTTTACCTTTCTGCCCCTCCAACAAGGGAGACTGACCTATTTACCCTTGGTCACATCGCTCCTCCCCGACAGTCTCTGCCCGTCACGCACGGTTCCACCATCCAGAAACAGCCAAGAGGCTTGTACCCGTGACTGTACCCCTGCCCGTCACAACGGCTAGTTATGGGCACGTATGCCCGTCTCAACGACTATTTCTAGCAGTTACCTATTCTTCGGGAAACGGTTATCTCGCCCCGAAAATAGGGACCGATGGCCAAACGTTGGGGGCATTATAAAAACCCTCTCACTTGAGAGGGTCAGGTATCCAATTTCTTACCTAGAAACACGTATTTCGTACTTGTTCGCTCTCTTGCTCATTTTCTTACTTTAGCATCGGAGTGCCTTGCAGGTATACCCCCTCCTCCTCTTTCACACCCAGCATCACAGACGTTCGTCTTTGGCTCATCTCATATTCTGATCGTTCGGTAAGATCAGTGGCGCTATCTGTGGAAAACTTGTCATCCCCGTCTTTTCTCCTCTCGTAGACACAAAGACCAAAACAACTTTCTGATCATGGTTGCCCGTGACAACAATCTTAATGCTCATAACTCTTTTTTCCTCCCCGTCGACAAGACTGATGCTGAAAGGGCATCCACCTTTCATGTCGCCGACGTTCTCCGACGAATAGACGGAGTCACAACTTCTTCATCCCCTATTCGTGCAGATCACGACGAAGTCCCGCTTGACCAACAGCACCTGCTGGTCCCAGTCCCCCCCAACGTCGATTCGGCCATGGCGGCCCTCCTCGAGGTTTTCAACAAGACCAACCTCCTCATCCTTAACCAGAGCGCAAGAATTAAAGCTTTTGAAGAATCTCGTCGTCTAAGATCTTCCCCACCGAGGGAAAAAAGACAACAACAGAGTCCCCCTCCCCGGCGCGAGAGGAATCGTCGAACGCCTCCAGAGCCAGAGACAACGGTCGTCCGCAAACGCGACCAGAATTCTCCCTAGAACCATCAATCCCCGCAGCCCAAAAGGAGCCGAAGAGAACACCTGGTGGAGTCTCCACACTCACTGCCCAGATCCAGAGGCCGAGCATAAACCTCGTCTCTACGACGTGGCCACCATCTTACCTACAGACGTAACACCCGTTTTACCTCCTGGATCAACAGCAGCAGCGACGACAAGCCTCGCGACCCGTTATCCCAGGAAATCATAGTCATGTGCCTCCCAAAAGAACTAGAGAAACCCCCTTCTTTGGGCACATACGACGGAACAACTGACCCTGACGAGCACATCAAAAACATCAATGCGAAGCTCGACTATCGCGGCGTTCGGGGCGCCATCAAATGCAGGTTATTCTCAACCACACTCAGGAAAGGGCAATGACCTGGTACAAAGGGCTCCCGGACGACTCCATCACTTCGTGGAGGCAACTGGGAGACTCTTTTCCAGACATTTTACGGTATCTCGCCGGCATCCGAAGACCGAAGCCTCCCTTGAGGCCATCATTCAAGGCAGGGACGAACCTCTGCGAGCTTACATTGAATGGTTCAATAAGGAGGTCGTCCAAGTCTCCACCACTGATGACATGAAGAGATTCCTATTGAAACGCGGGCTCCATCCCCGCACAAGCTTCGCCAAGGCTATAGGCCTCCGCCCCCTACAACACTAGACGCTTTCCTCCTCAGAGCTCAGTCGTACATTTTATACGAGGAGAAGGAGGCTGTCAGCTCTGCCCGAGAGTCCAGGCACCGGGAGAATTCCTGTTCAAATAGGACCGACGAGCCTTCGACATCCTGTCGAGGAGATAAAAAGCAGGAGGACCGTCCCCGAGAGACCCGAGACAACAAAGGGCCCTTCGGAAAGTTCCACGATTACACCCCATAATAGTCTCAAGGGAAAAGATCCTCACTGAGTGCGCACTCAAAATTCGCCAAGCCGAGGTCTGGTTCCCAAAGCAGATACCGACCAAACCCAATACGGATAAGTCCAAGTACTGTCGATTCCATAAGAGTCACGACCATACAACAAAAGATTGCATCCACCAGGATGCCATTGAAATACTCATCAGGGACGGACACCTGAAAAAGTTCGCCAAGCGAAAAGAAGTCCCTCGACCAGACACCCAAGAAGCCCTTGAAGGTCGAGGAAGAGGTGCCTACATCCGGGGAAACTAGTCTTCAGGTTTCCATGAGCATCTCACTACCTGAAGATTTCTGCATCCCCGAGGGGCTCGTCGTCCCTCCATATTTTGTCGCGCACAGCCCGTGGGAGACGTTCCCCTCCTCCATGGTCATTTCAGTGGGAGGTTTCAACAAAGTAACAATAGAATCTGTCAAGAGGAAATTCGAGCACCTCATAAGCAGAAGTTCAAACCAAAACTCCACCCTTGACAAGATCAGAGGAGAATCCGTCCCCATTTGCTTCTACCGCAAAGAGATCCTCAACAGAGCCCCCAACGCCAGTATCCATCTTCTCTTCAGGGCTTAAATGGTGAACTTTGATGTTCGGCAAATCCTCGTCTATCAAGGCAGCTCCGTCGACATCATGTACTCTCAGCTGTTCTCCACTCTCCAGCTGGACGAGTCACATTTGACGCTCTATGTGGGCTCTGACCTCCAAGGGTTTAATGGATCAGTGACAAACCCTTGGGGGTATGTTGAGTTGATTGTTACCTTCGGATCCGCAGAGAAGGCCAGATCTATCAAGCTACAGTTCCTCGTAATAAATTGCCCGTCCCTCTACCAATACATCTTCGGCTGACCAAGTCTAGTCAAGCTATTGGTCGTGCCTTTAACGGTACACCTGAAGATGAAATACTATACTTCCAAAGGCCTCGTCGCAACTCTACACGAGGACATAGAAGCCGCGAGGAGATGTTTTGAAGCAGCATCAAAGGGACTGAACGCTATCGCCTCCATACCAAAGACTCCTGCTCAGCCACCTTTATTCAGCAGCTCCAACGAAGCAAATCCACTCCCTCGCGTCGACTCTATCAACCTCGACAGCTACTTCTCTGAAGACGACCAGAAAACTCAGAATGCAAATGGAAAGGAGGTTCAGTCACCTTCGGATATCCCCTCCGGTAGAAACGAAGCCACCCATCCTATGCGCCCCATCCCAGACGGAGAATTCGAGCTTGTCCCACTTGGCAACGACCCCTAACGAGGAGTGAAGATTGGAGCCAGTCTCTTTGAGTTAGCAAGGAAACAACTAAGAGCATGTCTCTAGGAGAATACAGACCCGTTCGCATGGAGCACCGTGGAGATGCCCGGATTGGACCCTGATGTGTCCTGTCATCACCTCACCATTGACCCTGCCGCTAAAGTTGTTGCCCAACATAGGCGACAGCAGTCCCTGGAGAAAACGGTGGTTGTCAAGCAAGCTGTAAAGGACCTCTTAGAGGCGAATTTTATATTAGAGGCCAAGTACT